GAGTTATGCACTATTGCAGCACAGGATTTGAAAACTATAAAAGCTAAAATCCCAGGGCATCCTAGTGACAGTGAGTGAAGAAGGGAGCAGGATTTCTTGCCTTTTCCTGTGGCATTCAACAGCAGCATCAGTTTGATTTTGCCACAACATTTCCCTGACAGGAGGGGACAGCCGGGGGGATTTGGGATCTGCTCCAGGGAACAGGGACAGGAAGAGAGGGAACAGCCCCAGGGTGGGCCAGGGCAGGCTCAGGGGGGACAGCAGCAGGAATTTCCCCATGGAAAGGGTGGGCAGGGATTGGAAGTGCCCAGGGAGGGTTGGATCCCCATCCCTGGAGGTGTCCCAGCAATTCCTGGAGGTGGCACTGGGTGCTCTGGGCTGGGGACAAGGTGGCATGGGGCACAACTGGGCCTGGATGGCCTTGGAGGGATTTTCTAACCTAAGTGATCCTGGCATTTTGGGATTCTTGTCCATTGCCTTGTGTAAAAGGTGTGTAAGCAAGAAGAATTTGTAGCATGAGGTAAAATTTTTTCTCCTTGTGATTCAGTCTGTAAATGTGTCACACATGAATTTTTGAGGTAGAAACTGACACAGAATGAAGGCAATGATAAACAATACACAGCTGAAAATATTAAGAACTTGCAAAGAACTTGGGTGTGACATCCAGGGTCAGGGTGGCTGACTTTTGATTCTACCAGGAAGTTGTACTTGCAGGATTTACAAGACAGCTGGGTCTCTGTGGTAGCTAAGATCAGTATTTATAACTCCACCTCTTTTGCTATTTGACTGGCTCTGCTTTATTTTATTTACCTGCTGGTGACATTGAGCTATGGACATCTTCATGAGGGACAGTCTCATGGTCCTATGCCATTCTTAATCACCTTTTCTTAGTTTTAATTATTAATCACCTTTTCTGCATAAATTTAGATGAGGACTAAATTTAAATTTCTTGGGGAAGTTTCCCAGGAATATGGACGTGGCTTTCTTGTGTTTTCTTGGACAAAATTCCAACAAGCAACAAAAAAAATTTGTAAAATTTAATTTGCAAGCATGGAGTGTCATTCCCTGTTGTGGGTTACCTCCTTGCTCTGATGATTTTCTACACGACTGGAAGCTGCTTTTGTTTGCTTTGCATTGTGTTGAGCAGAACATCCTAGAGTTTCTAATTAGTTACTAAACTATTGGGTCTTTTGCTGAAGATACACAAAAAGAGGCTAAAGTAACAGCTTCAGAGTGTCATGTAAGACTCTTCTTGCCAAATTAATTGAACAAAATAGCACAGATTTTCTTTAGGGATTGAATTTTTCCTGTGTTATGATCTAGACCTTTTCCCTTGAGTTTGTCTGTATTTTTGACAAGCGGGAGAAGTTTTGGCAACTTGTTGAGTGCCACTGTTGATCTGAGCCTCACCTAAAGTTTTTGTTGGGAACAGATGAATGGCATTTTATGTAGCACTTTGAAGATACTTTTTCGTACTATCTCAGGTGTCTTGGTTACAAATTGTAGGAGGTATTGAGAAGATTGCCACTGCTCTTATATTGAAAACAGACCTGGGAACATCTTGTTCTCTGCGAATATGCTGCTATTTGAGAAATAGAAATATGTAATTGCTTTCCAGAGGGTCTTATCCTCATAAGGACCTGTGGTAGTCTCTGTGTTAGCTGAGACAAAGCAACTGAGGTAGTTGAGGCTTTTTGTTTCCTTAGATTGACATATAGAAAATCTAATTTTGGACTGCTCTTCATTATTTTTTTCCTTTTTATTTTTCTTTTCCCTACCCACCCAGTACATGTTTGTAGCCATCAAAATTTCTTCCATGTCTTATTTACTTTGTCAGTTATAAACAGAATGTTGAAAAAAGGGTGCTCCAATCTCAGTGCACCCCATGGTCCACTCTGGGTAAATAAGAATTTTATTTGTATGCCAGTCCATAATTAAAGGATCTTTTCTTTTCTGTGGATGTTGTTCATTGTTCCTGTCTGAGGATTGATTGGCTTTGGAGCAATAAGTGGGATATTTAATCTAGTATATTCTAATGGAACCTCATTATCAGTTCCACGTCTGTACTTTTCTTCTCCTTCCATTTTACTTGAATTTTCACTATTTTGGTTTCTCAATAATATCCAGGCTGGCAGAGTGTGGTTTGCTTCTTCTGATCTACATTTTTGGGCAGGAGGATTTATTCCTGGCAAATCCTAATTCCTCTGCCAGTGACTGCATCTGGAAGTCCTGTTTTTGGCTTTGTTCCAGAACTTGTTCTCTTATGAAAAAAATCTGTGTCACCCTCAATACCCTGAGGTGTACTTATCTCTCTCTCTTACAAAATCTTCTGTATTTTAAGGCTTTTTTGCATTTAGCTCAAAAACTCTTAAGCCTTTTTTTTTTCCCATATGGATGCAGTATTAATAAAATTTATTTGACTTCTCTACTTCAACTTATTCCAAAGTCTTAAACTTCCCATGTGTGGGAATTAAAACCCTTCTTTCATGCAGGCTCAAGTGTGAACTTAATTGGGAAACTGATTTGAAAAGGAAATATGCTTTTTTAATTTATTGCCAGCTTAGTTTTAATCAATCTCATTCCTCCAGGTCTGCTCACTGCACAGGTGATGTGGGAGAAGAGCAGGGAGGAAAATCTTCTTTCACGTGGGTCACTGTTTAAAGTGTACGAGGAACTACTGCCCTCTAACTGGCAATTTAAAATTAAAAACAAACAGAAGGAAAAAGGCTTTCCCTTAGATTTGCAGGCACACTTTGCTGTGTATTTTACACAGTGTTTGGCAGGTGGTTGTAAGCTCAGAGCTGCCTTGTGCTGATGCCTTGCTGTCAATAAAGCTGTATTAGCTGAGGCCAGATTTTTAGGCTGTAGTTATCATGATTTCGTGGTTTCTGGTGGGCTGGAAGTGAGGCAGAGGGGTGCATCCAGAGTGAGCCCCCCAGAAATCACTGAGCTGTGCAGGCTGACCAGGACCTCCAACCCCTTGGAGTGGCTACCTGGAACAGAGGCTAGACAGAGGTAAAAGAATAAAGTAGGAATTTATTAAAGGCCTTCAATAGATACACCTTGGGCTGTCAAAGCCTCCCAGGGGCTGCACCCAGGATGGACAATGGTCATGAGTTTTTCACACAATTATAAATTCGGTCCGTTTACATATCAGGGGTTAATTGTCCAATTAGAGCTTCAGGTAATGAAGTCATTTACCCCCAGTTTGCTTTCCTCAGTTAACTTCTGTTTATGTTTTTTTTGGGGCCTGAGGCTGTGCTGTGTCCTTGGGTTTCAGAGGGATTGTTTTGTGTGACCAAAATGTGAAGACATTTAACTAACACTTCATATGGAGTTCAGAGTTATGCACTATTGCAGCACAGGATTTGAAAACTATAAAAGCTAAAATCCCAGGGCATCCTAGTGACAGTGAGTGAAGAAGGGAGCAGGGCTTTTTGCCTCATGCTCGTGGCATTCAGGGACAGCAGCATCAGTTCGATTTTGCCACAACCTTTCCCTGGCAGGAGGGGACACATGGGGGATT